TTGAACCGCCAGCCTTCTGGTTAGCAGTCAAGTGCCTTAGGCACTAAGCTACCAGAGCTCCCGAAAGAAGTTATATGCCAGGGCAAACGAAAAGTACATTCCCAAAAAATCAGGAGCTGTTTTTCCAGTTGGTGGAAGGTTAAAAACTACTACTACTACTATTACCACCACTATCACCACCCAAAAAAGCCCACCATCACAAAATCTGGCAAAATAAATAAATATGCCCAGAACTGACAAACTGCCACAGACAGAAAATCAAAAGCTTGGTTGCAAATAGGAAAAAATTCAAAACTGGGTTTCATGAATCTTTTATTCTCAATTTTTCAAAACTAAAGTGTTTCTATCACTCTGTCTTCCTGGGTCTATCTAAACACTTAGCAAAGACTTGAATATTACACAGTAAATTCCTTTCCCTAGAAAGCCTTTCAGGAATTGAAGAATTTCATTATTCTTCCTTACAGTGCAGATTATGCCTCCAAGACAACCATGGAGGCTAACAGTACCAATATCTCAAGGACTAAACTTTTATGTAGCTATGTTTACCCTATGTATTTCTGTGCTTAAAGTAGGTTTTATTTTTCTACCTTCAAAACAAAATAGTTCAATAATGAATACAGCTGCACTCCACTTTTAATGGCCATAAATTTACAGGCTTCTTAAATGCTACATAAGCAGTCCTAAATAAGATACCAGGTTTAATATCCAATGTGCAAAGACCATTAAAAACAGTCTATTCGCCAAATACACTCAGAAACAAGAAGCAACTTAACAGCTGTCTAAATAACCACAAAATATTAAAACACTTCTGGCTCAAAATAAATGACATCTGAAGTGAGATTCTGCCTCCTCCAACAGACATTTCATTTGTTTGCCTAGAACCATTTATACTTCATTTAAGCCAGCTGGTGTCTCCGTTTGCAGGCATGCATCAATGTCTAGCGAACAATCTATGTTCCTGTAAACCCTTCTCCATTCACAAGCTGCAGTGTCCAATTTTAATGGCAAGCTTCCAGCAAACACAATGAGTTCTTACAAAGGAATTTTAACTCTTCATCCAACTCAATTCTTAAGGCAGACTAGAGCAATGGTAAACCAGTTGCTGACCTCATGGCAACCCCATGTGTATCAGAGGAGAACAATGTTCCATAAGGTTTTCAATGGCTGGTTTTTCCAGAAGTATATCACCAGGCCTTTCTTTCACGACTCTGAGTAAATTCAAACCTCCCACCTTTAGGACAGCAGGTCAGCAGCTTAACTGTTTTGGCACTACCCAGAACATATGAATGTTCTTTAAAAAACTCACAAATAATATCCACAGAAGGAGCACTTCACTAGATCACTCATTCACTCCATTAACTATGAAAACAATGTGCTGTATTTGACTGACAGTCTTTTGTAATGCTGTATAATATTTTGACTTTATTAAAATGATTTTGTCCTTAGGAATATCATGGCAATCTTTTGGCTACAAGATAAATTTTTTCAAAAACCAATCAAGAAGGATAAAAATTTTTCAAATCTGTTTAACTAACTTAAGAGGATTGGTACTGATGTAGCTACTAAAAACCAAACCCAACCCCTTGCCATTGAGTTGATTCCAACTCACAGTGACCCCAACTGCGTGTCCAAGGTGGTATATCTTTACAGAAGTAGACTGCCTCATCTTTCTTCTGTGGAGCGGCTGGTCAGTTTGAACCAACAATCTTCCTGTTAGCAGTCAAATGCCTTAGGCGCTGCGCCACCAGAGCTCCCTGATATAGCTGCTAGAGGTATTCATTTTCCCCACCATTGTCAATGCTTCTTTCCCCCTCAAACACACCTCCACTCATCCACTTTTCCTTTTCCACATCTAGGGATATTATAAAGTTCAATGTTGACACCCTAGTAACATAACATAACCCTCGTTGGGGATATACTGCATATTCAGGCCCTCCCCTACCCCCCACCCTGCAAAATAAATAAATATCATGAGGCTTATTAGCATAATAAAGGCTCCACGTCTTCAAGCTAAGAAAGCTTAACAACTCACCCAGCCTTTTCCTCTTTCCTGGTATTAAGCTGAAACAGTTTGAAAAATGTTGATTTAAGTAAAAATAGTCATCAGTACAAACTTTGTAATTATCCTGGAATGACTCAAATAATAGCTGGGGTTTAACACATGTTCAAGTTAATTCCTAACCAATATCTAGCAAAAAAGACTTCAAACTACTAGTAAAGCCCCAACATGAACTCAACTACACCATCAGAAAACAATATACAAGCATCCAGAGGAGAACAAGGATGAAAGATAAATTACAAACACACTCAAAAAAAAAAAAAAAAAAAATTGACCTCAGTACTCTAATTCTAATTAATTCAAGTTATGCTTGAACTGACAGAACTCCTGCAGAGCCCCAGTCAATCTCAATTTGGTGAGCCACTGACGACTTGCAATCGCAGCTACTTATTTCAGATACAGTTATGTGGGTATTCAGTCCTATAAGGTTTCAGAATCAGCACTGTAAAAACAGAACTCTAAATAGTAGGTAGATGGGAAAATTATGTTCAAGTCTGGTGACATAAAAACTGGGAAACTCTTCAATATTTGTACAACACAGCTCCCATTATGACATCATTACAAAACCCAGAAAGGAGTATACCCAAAACTGGCCACGTGAACACAAGCCAAATTTAATGACATTTAGGATGTCATTCAAAATTATAGTTAAAAAATCAATAGCTATTTTAATTGGTTTTCCCAAGTCAACATTCTATGCTAATATTCAAACTTGTTCTAATAGTCCAGTAACTTTTAGCTGACTCAACAAAACTCAATTAGCATTTTAGATTTCAAGTTATGGCCAAACTTTCGAAGTAGATGTCAAAAAGCACCTTGAAGAACAGGAGGCATACCAGTATTTTGAAAACAAATGTGAATGTCAATTAGCTGGCTTAAACAATTCCTAATTCCGGTCAATTTATTATTGTTATATTCCAAGTTTTCAAAGGATTGTAATTCTTTCAACTTAAGTTGCCTTTAAAGTAGGAGAAATGGAACAGCTCCTGGCTGGTTTACCATATGTTCAATACTATTTTAGCACTGAAATATTCTTTAATTCCCAAACCAACATTGTATTAATTCACCTGCTCGAAGGAAATGTATTGCTGGTTAGCTACAGCTATTTTTAAATGGCCTTATTAATTAAGTACAGACTCTATGATACCATTTGTTTTCAATGACACCATTTCAAAAAAAAGGCCAACTCAAAAAACAGTGTTAAACACCAGCTCTTCTTAACATTGCTTACTTACTTTTTCGTTTTTTAAGTAAAGTCTAACAATAAATCAATGAATGTCTTTGAACAGAACAGTTTAGGTAAGGTCATTAAATAAAATTACCTGTGAATTCCTTTCAAGGCTCACTACCACTTTAAAACAACACGTCCTTAAGTTAGATCAAATATTCAATAGCAAAAATGGAAGTCCATCTGAGTGTCCACCACCCTCCCCCCGCAATGGATTTGGAAAAGGGAATTAAAAACCCTGACCTTAAAAAAAAATTCCCAATTGAAGTTACCAATATCAAAGGTATATACTGGTTCAAACCCCACGAGCCACTCCTCGGAAGGAAGGTTGGGCAATCCTACTTCCGTAGTGATACTGCCTCGGAAACCCAAGGAGGGGTCGCTATGAGTCGGGGCCGACTCAACGGCTAACAACAACAACAACATACTGCCTATAGATTAAAAAGAAAAGAAAAGCTAAGAGTAACAAGACATTTAAATCAAGCTATGAAAAGACTTGTCTACTGGATATTATTACCAAAGGCTCATACACGAAACCTTTGCATGCTACACATAAAGGAAAGATTTACACTTCAAATCCACAAAGGCCTATCTATCGGATACTAGGACTGTGCCAGGGGAACACAAGGCTTTGAAAGTACAGAAAACACTGGGCACACACATGCTGTACAAAGCATCCAAAAGACAATTTCCCCAGTCACTTTCAGGAAATGTTTGAAGATGAAAAGCAAAAGTAGTCTGAAGTCCTCTGGAATCTGGTGTTAATTAATTATTCTTAAAGCCTCGGATGTTTTCTCCCAACATATTTTCTTGCAGAAAAGCATTCCTACTAAACGCAAATGCTCAGCGCCTATTTTCAATTCAATTTGCTTTTCATTATAAGTTCTGGATTTCTCGGTTCGTGGAAATACAGGGTACGTATTCGGGAAGTGCATTTTCTTTGTTGTTGACCCTGCTGGGAAACAGGTCTTGACTCAGCCAAAGTGGCGTTCTTGTGGGTGATTAATGACAGGCCTAGATCTCGCCCCAATGACATCCATCCCCACCCCCACTATACTAAAATCAGCCATGTCTGAACTGAAGGAGGGGCTGCCGCCTCGCCTCAAACAACCCAGTCTCAGAGTTATTAGCTGCAACCAATCGATTCAGGTAAAAAAAGACAGAGATTCGAGTGAAATGTGACCTTCCTCTTGCCTAAATTTATGAATATAACCCTTCCCTAATCGTTTCCGCTGGGACTCTCTCGACTACGGAAACACTCAATTCCAGTCATTCAGCCCAAAGAAAAGAATCTTCCTCTTCCCCACAATACCTGCAAGGCACAGTCCCTACCCACCCTACCTCCCGATCCCTTGACATAAGGCCCTTTCTATTGTGTCTCCGGAGTGGTTGGAGGATCAAATTAAAATAAATGTGGTTGACTGATTATACTTTGCTCCGAACGCGGGGATAAGTCCGAAACCCCACTCTATCGACTGCATCCACGCCTCGAGGACCCCTGTCCTCTCGCCCACCCCGGGGGCTGGGACCCACCTGTAGTGAGGCGGGAGGAGACATCGCCGAAAGGGGATGGCTCCATTCGGTGATACTTCTGCGGCGAGGCGGCGGCGGCCGAGAAGGAGGAGGCTGTGGCCGCGGCCGCCGCCGACGGGGAGGCGGCGGCCGAGGTGGGTGCCGACAATGGCGCACATCGCCTCCGCTTCGGGGATGCCGGACTCAACAGCGGGTCAAAATCCAGAGTCCTTTTCAAAGTGGCTCCGCACGCCATGGCCGGGGGCAGCGGAGGAGCCGGGCTCGGGTTGGGTCGGGGAGGGGTGACGGGAGGGAGAAGGCGGAGGGGGACCGAGGTCTCCGGAAAAGCCTAACCGACCGGCTCAGAGAAAGACGGAGCGCTGGCTAAGGAGAGGAGAGCAGCCGCCGCCGCTGCCTCCGCGGCAGAGCAGTGGCCCGGGGCCGGCCGGGACGAGATCGAGAGGGGCGGTGGCGGCAGCTCACGCCAGCCGCGTCAGTGGGGGGGCTCTTCCGCCTCCTCAGGCGCGGCTCCCCCGGGAGAGGCTCCGGCCCCCCGGCCGACCGTGAGAGCTTTCTGACGCCCCTGAGGCTCTCCTGCGATGAGGCGGGCTTCCTTCGGAAGTCGATAACAGCTCCGTGAGGTGTGAACCTTGGAGGCGGCTCCTAAAGTGCCTGACTAGGTTCAGTAACTGGCAAGTGGTGGTCGATGCGGAGGGATTACGAGGTGAGGCGGCTGCAGGAGCTGAAACAAACACGTCCAACCGCTTCTCCCTCTACAGTACGACTCTTCCACCCGCCGCCGGCCCCAATATGGCGTCAATAACAACGCCGCCGATTCAAATCCTGCGGCCTCAGGGCGCGTGCGCACAGAGACGTATCCCGGGATGTGTTATGGGAGTTGTAGTTAATCGCGCTTGGAAGAAATCAGTCTGAAAGGCAGTTTGAGACATTAAGGGGAACTACGACTCCCATTATGCAGGGCGGGAGAGTCGGAGTTCCGGGTTGGAATTTAAATCCCCCTAGCGTAGTGCCTAAGGCACTTGATTGCTAACCGGGAGGCTGGCTGATCAAACTCACTAGCCACTCCTTGTAAGGAAGGTTGGGCAATCTATTTCAGTAGTGATACTACCTCAGAAACCCAAGGAGGGGTCGCTATGAGTCGGATGCCACTCGAGGGCACATAACAACAACATACATATAGGAGCTCTGGTGGTGTAGTGTCTAAGGCATTTGACTGCTAACCAGAAGGTTAGCGGTTCAAACCCACCTGCCGCTCCTCGGAAGGAAGGTTGGGCAATCTATTTCATTAGTGATACCACCTTGGAAAACCCAGGTGGGGTCTCTATGAGTCGGATCCGACTCCACAGCAGTGAGGTGTTTTTTTTTTGTTTTTTTTTTTTAATACTATACATCTTAAAGATCAAAGACTACAACCTTTAGTGTGCATTAATCCTCAACATAAAACAAACCTCACAACTGGACCAATAAAGCAACATCATGATGTTGTTGTTGTTGTTGTTATGATAAACAGAGAAATGATTGAGGTTGTAAAGGATTTGGTTTTACCTGGATCCACAATCAATGCCCATTGGAAGCAGCAATCAAGAAAACAAAGGGTGCATTGCATTGGATAGATCTGCTACAAAAGGCGTCTCTAAAGTGTTAAAAGGAGCTCTGGTAGCATAGTGCCTAAGGCACTTGATTGCTAACCAGAAAGCTGGCAGTTCAAACCCACCAGCCACTCCTCGGAAGGAAGGTTGGGCAATCTACTTCCATAGTGATGTTGTTGTTGTTATGTGCCGTCGAGTCAGCCCTGACTCATAGCGACCCCTCCTTGGGTTTCCTAGGCAGTATCACTACGGAAGTAGGATTGCCCAACTGCCTTGGAAACCCCAAGGAGGGGTCGCTATGAGTCTGCTCCGACTCCACAGCCCATAACAACAAAAGTGTTAAAAAGCAAAATTACCACCTTCACAGCTAAGGTGTACTTGACCTAAGCCATGGTATTTTCAATCACCTCATATGCTTATGGAAGCTGGATAATGAATAAGGAAAACTAAAGAAAAATTGATGCATTTGAATTATGGTGTTGGCCAAGATGATTCAATATACGATAGACTGCCAGAAGAACAGACATCTGTTTTGGAAAAAGTACAGTGAGAATGTTCCTTTAGAGGCAAGGATGGCTAGACTTCCTCTCACATTTTGTCAGAAGGCACCAGTCCCTGCAGAAGGTCATCCTGTTTGGTAAAGTAGAGGGTCAGTGAAAAAGAGGAAGACCTTTAATGAGAGTGGATTACTACAGTAACTGCAACAATGGGCTCAAACACAGCAATTATTGTGAGGATAGCCAGGACCGTGCAGTGTTTAGTTCTGTTGCACATAAAGTAGCTATGAGGTTGACATGTCTTGACAGTGCCTAATAACAACAACACACCTTGAGTAGGATCCCTCATGGTGCAGTGGTTAAGACTCTGCTGGTAACCGAAAGACTGGTGGTTTTAACCCACCAGTCTGCTCTGCTGGAGAAAGATGAGGCAATCTGCTTCCATAAGGAAACCCTATGTGACAGTTCTAATAGGATCACTACTGTTCTAATAGGATTGCTGAGTCAGAATTGACTTGACAGTGATGGTTTTTGTTTTTTTCCACACACCTTTGATGCAAAAGGAACTGAGAAAAAAGACTCAGAGGATGCAAGAGAAGAAAGCAAACCAGTAAGGAAAGCAGGTTAAGAAATAGAGAACTTAAAACTCATACCACTCCATCACTGATTTAACAACTGGGAAATAGGAAACTATGACAACCTAATAGTCTAGGAAAGATTAATTTCAATAATAAGAGTTCCAAAAACAAAACTTGTCACATCAAGGGGCTAGGAAATAATGATAAGATTGTAAGACCCTACTTAGGGTTTCAAGGAGCTCTGGTAGCGTAGTGCCTAAGGCACTTGATTGCTAACCAGAAGTCTGGTGGTTCAAACCCACCAGCCACTCCTTGGAAGGAAGCTTAGGCTCAGAAACCCAAGGAGGGGTCACTATGAGTCAGGGCTGACTTGACAACACATAACAACAACAACAGCAGGATTTCAAGTGACAGTGTTTGATTACAGGCTCCTTGATTGAACTCAATGCTTTTCTCTTCCCAGGTGGCTGCTTGTATCCACTTATTAAATTCTGCAAAGCCAGTTTTGCTTTCATAATGAGTAGGATTTGAACAATGTACAGAACCAAATTGTTTTGCTTTGGATAAGAAGCAAATTACATGAGAAACTGCATTATCTCTGTTGATCGTTAATATAAGTCTTATGTGGGTGGTAAAAATTAAATAAAGAGACAATAAAATGCGTAAGCCAAACAACTTGAACCCATTGCTGTCTAGTCAATTCTAAATCATGGTGACCCCTGTGTATAGAGTAGAACTGCCCCATAGGGTTTGTCTTGGACAAAGTATAGCCAGAATGCTCCTTAGAAGCAAGGATAACTAGACTTCATCTCACATATTTTGGACTTCTTAGCAGGAGGGACCAGTCCCTAGAGAAGGGTAGTCATGCTTGGTAAAACAGAGGGTCAGTGAAAAAGAAGATTCTTAATGAGGTGGATTGACACTGGCTGCAACAATGGGCTCAAACATAGTAATGATTGTGAAATGGTGCAGGACCGGGCAATGTTTCATGTTGTTGTACATAGGTCACTGTGAGGCGGCATCAACTTGACGGCACCTGATGACAACAACAATAAAATCTCTACAGAAGCAAATCTCCAGGCCTTTCTTCTATGGCACCACTGGATGGGCACCAACCCCCAACCATTAGTTTAGTACCATAAACCAAACCAAACCTACTGCTAATTCCAAGGAGCTTTTGTGGTGTGGTGGATAAAGCAGTTGACTGCTAACCAGAAGGTCAGTGGTTCAAACCCACCAGCTGCTTGCAGAAGGACTGGGTGATCTACTTCCATAAAGATTTACAGCCTTGGAAACCCAGTGAGAGTCACCATGAGTCAGAAATGACCTGGTGGCAGTGGTGGTGGGGGTGTAGGATAGAGTAGGACTGCCACATAGCGTTTCCAAGGCTATAATGGTTATGGAAGCAGATTGCTACATCTTTCTCCCGTGGGGTGGCTGGTAGCTTTGAACTGCCAGCCTTCTGGTTAGCACTCAAGTGCCTTAGGCACTATGCTACCAGAGCTCCTAGGGGTCCTTTAAGTTAGTAAAAAAAAAAAAAAAAATCTGTTGCCTTCCATAGATTCCAACTTATAGTGACCCTACAGGACAGGGTAGAACTGCCCCATTGGGTTTCCAAGGCTGCAAATCTTTACGGAAGCAGTCTGCCACATCTTCCCATGGAGTGGCTGGTGGGTTCCAAACACTGACCTTTTGGTTATGAGCCCAGAGCCTTAACCACTGTGCCACCAGGGCTCCTTCTTTAGGTTGGTAGTGAAGCACAAATCATTTGCACCATCCAGGAACCCACATAACATGTTGTTGTTGTTGTTATGTGCCGTCGAGTCGGACCCGACTCATAGCGACCCCTCCTTGGGTTTCCAAGGCGGTATCACTACGGAAGTAGGATTGCCCAACCTTCCTTCCGAGGAGTGGCTGGTGGGTTTGAACCTCCAGCCTTCTGGTTAGCAGTCAAGTGCCTTAGACACTATGCTACCAGAGCTCCTCATAACATGTGTAGGTAGAAAATATTGAATCTATGTTTAAGCAAAGAAAAGAATATTTATCAAAGTTATACTCTTGATCAGGTACTAACATAACAATCAAATGCAAAAAACAGGAGCTCTGGGGTGAACATAACAATCAAATACAGCATTAATAAAACCTCTCAGGCCCTCAGCCTATGGAAGCTCTCACTGTGTTGTTATTGTTGTTGTTGTTATGTGCTGTCGAGTTGGACCCGACTCATAGCGACACCTCCTTGGGTTTCCAAGGCAGTATCACTACAGAAGTAGATTGCCCCATCTTCCTTTCGAGGAGTGGTAGAATTAAAAAAAAATTCCTATCAAATGATTATAGATTTCAAATTCTGGTTTTCAATGGCCATTTATTCAATAACTGAAAGATGTTTGGTGGACACTTTGTCTAATATTGTTTATACTATATTTGGACAGTAGTTCAATATATTCTTGTTTTATGGAATGCTGTGATATCTCAAAGACTAGCCAGCAGTCATGATCACATGGTTAGTGCCAAAAATCCTAAACTGTGGAAAGTATCTTTTGGAAAAGATAAGCATTTAATGAAATAGAAGTTTCACTATGACACTGGGTAAGTTTTTACTAAATTCTAAACAATCTATGGAATCCATGATACTATGAAATTTTTGCCTGTCGTTTGCCCTGTAGTCAGCCACTAACCATAGACCGCATGAACAACTGAACAAAACATTGCTCTGTCTTGTGCTGCTTTCATTTTAAGACTCAGCCCAGGGATTAACCCCTCCAAGAAGTCTTCCCAATGCTTCTGGGCCAAATTAGTTTTATATAGTCACAGAGAAAGAGGCACATACCTGCATACCTTCATCATTACCCTCACCACATTGTAATATAATTCTCTGTTCATAAGTATCTCTCTCCCACCACTATGTAAGCTGTTTGCCAATAGTACAGTGTCTTTTGCACTTTAATAAATGCCTATTGAATGTTTCTTAAATGAATGTTTTTATCACACTAACCCTATGGAAGGAACTCTGTTGGGATTGTGGTGAAAATATTCAGCTGCTAACCAAAAGGTCGGCAGTTCAAACCCACCAGCTGCTTAGCTGGAGAGAGCTTGAGGCAGTCTGCTTCCATAAAGATTTACAGCCTTAGAAACCC